GCTGAGGAAAAAAAGAAACAGCAACAACAGCAACAAAAACAACAAAGTATATTTTAGAGATATCCCTCATTGGAGACGTCAGATATACTTGCTTTAGGTTAGGTTATCATATTATAAACTTTTCTAGTTAGATTCGGTATGCATGCCTTGAGTCGGTCACTCTTATGTTAAAATCGGCAATTGGTTTGATATCAGATCTTAAAACAAAGGGGCGCAAACGGGGTAAAAGCAAAAGTTCCTTACGTTCACTTGCAACGGTTAAATTTCCGATCAATAGATATCCTAGCGAGAATTTAGTTATATTCTAAACGAAGTTAAATAATGAAGGTTTTCCTATATCAAACATTTCCAGGCAATGAGTTCCACCCTTTCATGGTTCTGCAGTAAAATGAATTTCTATAGGCTTCAGTGTTTGCAAAAAAATTGATTTAACGGGGGTCCTTCTTAACTACCAATTGGTCATAAATTTGTTCCTGAGGAAGGTTTCTAACCATCATATTTTGAAAACCAGACCTCCTAATGATAAACTTTTTGCGCAGATTTGTTCCATTGAAGAGTGCTGCGAACGTTTTAAATGATGGCGATACTTGACCAGTCATGTGACCAGAATAGCAAAAACGCTAAAACTTACAAGGCGTCTGAATCCGAAACTTTAAATTAGTGTCAATAGATTAAGTCTACGTGCCTAATGCTAGGTATGGGTTTTATGAAACTCGCATAATCATAAAAGTTATGAGGTAATAAACCCCCGTATTAACAGACTTTCTACAGTAGCTTTCCTTTTTTTACGCGTAAACGGTAATTCCATACGTACGATTATAAAGAACGCTAAGTTTTTTCTGATTCATAAGAATAATTGGAATTCTACCTGTCTTCTTCCAAGTTTTAGGGATTTAAAATTTTAACGCGCCGTTTGCGACTGGCACTAGTTACGCACGCGAAATCATACTTTTTTTAGCACTACAAAACGCTCCAAAATAGCTTTCCTCTAAATATCGTCTTCAGCAGTCCCGTAACAACTACTCTAAATCTGTAGTTAAGAAGGAGCCCCCATAAGTTTAATGAGCTTGTCTCCGTGATGGATCGTAGCTGACGATTGCGCCTTTTGATATAGAATGGGATTTCTGATGCTGATTCACCATGGATGGCTTTATGAAATAATTAACGGTTAACGGTCCATGTTTTGAGAGTTGTCAGATTCCCGTGTTGTGTTCTGTCGAACCACATGGTCAAGACACTCATAGCGCCTATCCTCACCCGGGGGAAAATACGTTGAATGAAGCACGATTAAGCAGGAATTTTTATTAAAACTGTGATTACCCCCAACTACGCCTTTTGGGTCCGCTTCGGAAGCATATCAGGCGAGTTTAATCCAGCCATGGTTTATATTTTGGCAAAACGCAGTCGAGCCAACAACGCTTATGGCGAGACCAAGTGACCCTGACATCTCACTGAAGCGTACCAAGAAAGGGTATTTGGTTTCTGCCGTTCCCAAATTCGTACCCAACTTGGGTTATAAATCAGTCCATATATCAGGCCACTGGCTTGATTCGACAGGATGTCAGGGCAGTACAGACACGGCTTCTAATTGGATACGACATTGAAACAAACTAAACTGGGGATGGCTTCCCACTGTTAGTTAACAACATTGTAAAACTAATTTGTCATGCTCATATTACCACGTGTTTGTTGTACGTCAAGGCATGTGTAAAGTAAAGCAAAGCTTTATTGCTATCAATGGAGGCCCGGAAGATGGGTAATAATCGCACTCGAAATTTAAAATTCCTTTGATTTTCAGGTTTTTATAACACTCAGTCAACCCAGATTATACTAGAAAGCTACCAAATGACGTAACCAATATGGTCAATATTGGCAAGTCCATTTTATTCCTAGTGGTTAGGAAACATTTTGTTGTGTTTTGCGTGTCAATCACCGTTATCTGACTTTGGTTGACTGGGACTCGACACTGTTTTACAGTGTGGATACTGAAACCAAGAACACTTTACATTTTACTGTACTTGAGCATTTTTCAGTTTTATGATTATCTAGTGAGAGCTCTTAATAAAAACCAAAGGATTAGTGATTTTCAAGTAAAAAGCGTTAATTCTTTTGCTCATAAGAAGATCCGTCTTTCTGTAATTGAAAAACAAAATCCGGAAATAACTTTCCCGTGTTCGTGGTTTGAGTGATTAAAATAGACTGCAAATTTTGACACAGATAGTTAACACGATAAGCAAGAGTAAACTTTATATGGACATGTTCTCCTAACAAAAAGGAAACACCATTGTCAAGAGATTGTACCGTGACTAACGATCTGCCACAATTTAGAACACCCTTTTTTAACTTTAAAAATTTAAACTAAATTAAAGATGATTTCCATTCCGCACTGCGCAGTCTCAACACCCTAATGTTTGTGAGTCTCACTCGATAGAATGCGAACCAATGAAACATTTTAAATTCTTTTTACAACAGTTTCTTTGATATTTGCAGCTACAAATACCGTTACCCGCTACCCGCGAGTATGATATAATTGTACTTTTAACTAAGAGCACAATAAAATGTAGGTATGTATGTAAATTCGTTTCATCAAGTGATATCAGAAAATACGAAGCATATAGCTTCACATCCAAAATGGAGGTTGACATGAAATGTTGAATACACTCCATGTAACTAGTTGCGAAATGTTACAATTTGTGACGTTTTACATGAGCCAAAACAAAAAACATAAACAAACTCTCGAGAGTGCGCAGCACGGACTGTTTTAAGGTGGCCGAACACAGTTTCGCGCGCGCTTTTGCTGATGCAGTTCAGCGCGCACACAAGGATTGCAAAAAACAAACGTGCCGTCAATAGAGCGATCATTTTATTTACTCAACACC